GAGGCTGATGTCCACCTTGGGAGCTTTGATGTCAACTTGTGTGTGTTCAGAGATTTCTTCTCTTTTCTTTGGTGATACACTGCTTTCACCCTTTTTTATATCAGTGTCAGGTTTGGAGATCCCAATTTCAATTTCAGCACTTTGAACTTGTATTTCTTCTTCTGATACAGTTATGTCTCTTTTTATACGTGATTCTAGGGATGGAACTTTTCCTTCCCTGTCACTTACCTGACCTTCAGTTTGCCCTGTCTCATCCTTTGTACTTGACCAGGTAAACGTAGGTAATTTTAACTTTGGCAGTCTGAATTTGCTTTCTTTTCCCTCCAAATCCTTTTCTCCTGTCTTCATGCTCGTGTCCATCTTCACGGTTTTATCACTTGTGGGCATGCCATCTTCTTCTACCTTTTCCTTTTTTACAGTATCTACTGATTCCACTGCGCTTTCTTCTCTTGGTATTTTCATGTCTGCTTTAAGTGTTTTGGCCATTTTGAATGACGGCATTTGTATTTTCCAAGTAGATAGTTCTGATTCTTCTTCAGGCATGTGAGGTTTCACATCCAAATTCCTGCCATCCTCTGAACTCCTGTCAGCTGTTTTTTCTTTTACTGAATGTGGAACATCACTTCCCAGTTTGTTGTTTTCATTCTCTGGCTCTTTTCTTCTGTGCATTGAAATCCCAAATTTTGTTTTCTGAATTGTTAGTATTTGTGTGTCGTCTTCTGGTTGTTTTTCTCCGGTTTCCAGTGTGTCAGATGTTGTGTGTAATTCTGCTTTAGCAGTGCCTATTTCTAGACCTTTTACCTGTATAGATCCTTGTGATGTGTGACCCGTCAGGTCTATGTTAATTCCACTTTCTCCTTCTGTTTTATCTGCTCTTTCTTTCTGTTTCTTTTTTCGTGACTTTGATGAGACTTGCGATGTTTGTTTAGTTGGGCTTTCTTTCAGGTCAGGTGTTTCTAATCTGGGTTTTGATATCTGTGTTGTTATAGCTGGTACCTCAGGTACAGTAAATTCTGATTTTGATTCCTTGTCTTTTTCTTTTTTAATGCTTATTTCAACTTCAGGGCATTTTTTTTCATGAGATGGAATGCCGTTTTTCATCTCTTTTAAGTCTTTTGTTATAGTTTCATGTATCTCCCCTGTTTTAATTTCATAAGCAGGAGATGTGGTATATTCAACAGTTAGAATTTCAGGATTTTCCAGGCTGATATCTTCTTTATGTATTTTTTCTCTTTCAGATAACACTGTATTTTTTATTTCTTTTTTTTGCTTGTCTTGCGGTTCTGGTTTGGATCTGTGCATTTTGAATCCAATGCTAGGGAACTTCAGTTTCTTTTGGCTTCCTTTCTTTTCTTTGATATGGACTTCTGGTTGAAATTGAGACTCTGTATCTGTGCTTGTAGGGGAAATATCTTGTATAGCAGGCTCATATGCATCTGATGTACTATGAGATCTTCTGTGCCCTAGTATCTTTTTATTTTTAATTGACTGGAATTTTGGCCATGATAATCTGTCTTTTTTAGGTCTCTTGCTTCTTCCTACCCTTTGGCTTACAATTAATGTTTCCCTGTCTTCTTCTGAAATGCCTTTTCCTGAAACATGCAGTGTTTCTTCAGGAATGCTCTCAGTGAGTTCTTTTTCCTGAAAGAACAAATAGTAGGCAGAAGATTAAAAGTAAAATAAGTATAGGTACAACACAAAATAAAACACATGCTATAAAATATGTAGAAAAATGTGCTTTTTATTCACAGTATCTACTTGTTGTATAAAAAAATCCCTGAAAATAGTGTATATAATTCAGGCAGAAATTACATGAAACAAATGGATTATACGACTGTAATATATTAATTTCTGAATGTTTACATTCTTTGCAAAACATTGCAGTAAGTAGAGGTTTCTATATGTATCTCTCTCTATATATGTCTGTACAAATATAATTTATATAATGTTTATATATATGTATATAAAGAAGAAAATAATTTGAATGTGAGGGACACCTATGAGCATATCAGGTCTATGGAGATATCAGTGATTAAACACATATTTTTAAGAGAAAATTTCATCGATGAGCTTTTGAGAAAAGTATTTATTGATATTTTACATTTTGGAAAATATTGAATATAAATACTACAGACCTTATCTGAGCCTGTTCTATCAGTGGACACTTAACAATAATAAAATGCTAGCTCACTAGATAATGTTTTTCTATCCTAACACAAGATTGTGGCTTTATCCAAAATCTATAGCCTTGCCCAGGATATTTAAAAACCTCCAAATATTGTGTGGGATTTTTTTCTTTTCGTGAATATTCATGCTAGTAAGTTTAAACACATACCTAAGTCTTAAGAAGAGACAAGCCTGTATTTTCTGGTCTGTTTCCAAACAGCACATTGCTACAGTGTTATCCAAACTTAGTAAACTACTCAAATACCTACCTGGCTTATTCTTTCCTTTTTGTACTGGTCTGTAGAGCGAATGTGTTCTAGTGCTTCTTTCCCAGCAATTTTTCTTTTGAGGCTGAATTGGACTCTGTATGGCTCGGAATATTGGAGAATCTTGAGTGCATCTTCGTATTTGATATTATCAAAAAATATTGTAGCACTTAGAAGCTGATCACCTGCAAGTGGAATCAGACATCATTTTAATTATTTTGTGTTTTCTTGCAGTTTTTCAAATTCTGTTGAATTAATGCCCACAAAAAAAAAAAAAATAAAAAAAATCACATCATATTTAAAATATAGAAACTATGTTCACATAACAGAATCACAGAATAGTTAAGGCTGGAAAGGACCTCTGGAGATGTAGTCCAACAGCCCTGCTCAGGACAGGGTCAGCTACAGCCAGTTGCTCAGGTCTGTGTGCAGTCAGGTTTTGAAGATTTCCGAGGATAGTGACTCCACAACCTCTCTGGAAAACCTGTTGCAGTTTCTGACCACCCTGACAGTAACAAAGTTTTTTCTTACATTTTTCAGTATTTAGACTTTGGACTTTTGTTCTTCTTTAAATCACTATTTATTGTAGTTTTGTGGCATACTATTTTGTGAAAGAATCAAAGGCAGGGTCTTCGTGAGCCAGCAAAGTGCCCTTGTGCCCAAGAAGGCCAATAGTACCTTGGGGTGCATGAGGAAGAGTGTGGCCAACAGCTCAAGGGAGATTCTCCTCCCCCTCTACTCTGCCCTGGTGAGGCCACATCTGAAGTGCTGTGTCCAGTTCTGGGCTCCCCATTTCAAAAAAGACAAGGAACTACTGGGGAGAGTCCAGCCGAGGGCAACAAAAATGATGAGGGGACTGGAGCATCTTCCTGATGAGGAAAGGCTGAGGGCACTGAGTCTGTTCAGCCTGGAGAAGAGAAGACTGAGAGGGGATCTGATCAGTGCTTGTAAATACCTTAAGGGTGGGTGTCAAGAGGATGGGGCCAGCCCCTTTTCAGTGGTGCCGAGAGACAGGTTAAGGGCAAATGGGCACAAACTGAAACTCAGGAAGTTTCATCTGAATATGACGAAGAACTCCCGTACTTTGAGCATAGCAGAGCACTGGCACAGGCTGCCCAGAGAGGTTGTGGAGTCTCCTTCTCTGGAGATATTCAAAACCCGCCTGGATGCGATCCTGTGCAACCTGGTCAAGGTGAACTCGCTTTGGTGGAGGGGTTGGACTGGATGGTCTCCAGAGGTCCCTTCCAACCATGGTGATTCGGTGATTCATGACTGTTATAAGTTGTTGGGTTTTTTCATTTTAGCTGTGTACATGCTTCTTTCTATGTATCTTTTTCACTGTTTGAAAATTAGATATATTTTTTAATGGTATACAAAAAATTCACATTTTGTTATTGTTTAAGAAACTGATCTTTGAAATTACTAATATGGAAAGGTTAAGCTCACACATAACATTACTTGGTTTGGGATCTACTATTTCTATTACCTAAAGAGATGACAGATCAGGTACCTATCTATATGCACACACAGCTACATACCTGATTATTTTAAGATACAAAAAACAAAACAAAACAGAAAATCAGACTGTACCTTCTCTCAGGCTAAATATTTTTGAAGCAGGAGATTCCTTAAGCACTTTTTTAATAAATATTCCTTCATTTCCTCCACCCGTCACACTAAAACCACTAGCACCAGCTTCCACTTCTGTTTTCAGGGTCACTTCCATTGTCTCCTACATACAGAAAAAGGGGTGAATTTATAATTTTTACTAATTTCTATCAAAGTGTTCTACATTATTCTACCATAAAAAATTAGTCTTCTCTGGTATATTTTTAGTAGCTCAAGAAAGATTATCTAAATAGAGAATGTACTTGTTCAGTATGGGTTTGATTTTGTTCTAAATTAGAATTAGAGTACATGTGCTAGGGTTATGGTGGACCAGGGCCATAGGGCAAATAGGTTATAATTTTAAAATGTGAAACATATGGAAAATTTTAGGGCTGAAAGATTGTATTTTCTGTGAAGATGTTAAGTGCCTGAATGAGAGTCAATGGGCCAGAAAAGTCAGACTAAGAGCTAATGCTGTACTGTACTCAAACCAGAGAAGGCTAAAGAATGCTAAAAAGAACCCCAAATAGGACCAGTAAGTGTTCATGCCTCTGCCACAACTAGGCAATTTGCGAAATTCCTGGTCAAAACAAATCTAAAGTGATTCTTTGACCATTTCTCCTTCCCCCTGTCCACCCATCCACACCTGTGTGTTGTAATAGACTTTATTATTTGGCAAATCACACGCTTAAAACTACAGAGTGCTTTTAGACCAACCTGTGAATGACTCTGTTTTGATTTTTTGTTTTCTTCTTGAAGCTGAAAAAATAATTTGCAATTATTTAGTGTTCAGAAATCATGCTGCTGTAAAGTACAACAAAAGTCCTACATCAGTTAAAATCCCTTGTTTAGATTAAGAACTGAGGCTGATTTTAATGGCAACAGAGCAAAATTGGGATCTACAAGGTAATGTACGACATGAATGATTTAACTACATTATTCCCAGTGATAAATTAGATGCCAAGGCCTTCCAGCATCGTACCAAAATTTGCAGTAAATGAACGCCAGAGACCAATTGTATTAAGACGTAGGGAGCTTTCCTGCATGTTACCTATGTAGCACATTTCTCATGCTTTCATCTTTGTGAACATACATTTTTTCATGTATTCATCTGCAGCATGAATTTCAAACTGTTGCCTACTTATCTTAACATGACTGCACTAGTCAAGTCTTTAACTTTGAATAACCAAGAGGTACCGGTCATTTTGAAATAAGTATTAGATTCAAGCCAGTTAAATATTCTAATAGGAAAAGCATTGTGATTTCTTGCCCCAGGTCCTTTAAAGAATGAAGTCAAATGCCTTTTTTGCCAAGAAACAAGAACATGACCAACAACAAGTCCAGTACAATATAAAACCATCAATGAACATGGCCCTGATTTTGGTGGGGACAGGAAGACAATATGGCTGCAACAACATCCTGTTACATGACATATGAGCCTCGGCTAGTTGTTGGAGCTAAAGCCTCTTGAATCAACTTGGTAAAGCCATGCCTGCATGAAAACTCAGTGTCTTGCCTTTAAATATTCTTCTTCTATGGAATATTCATAAACTGGAGAGGATCCTTGTGGCCTTGGACGGATGTCTTCTACTGCCACTTCATTAACCTGTGGAAAAGAAATGAGTAGTGGGAAAGGAACATTCACCATTAAACTGTGATCCATTTTTAGGAGAGTTTTTCTACTTAGGAATAGTCTCCTCCTGTGTACAAATCTTTTGTTAGTAATGGTGGATGTAGAATAACCAATAACTCTTTCCTGAGGTCAAGAACAAATACAATTCTCATTTAAGGATGTTATTCAAGAACACAAGGGACAGACTCCTGAGAGACAAAAACAATGGTACACTGATTTTTGTTTCTTTAGCTATTGTATGCATCTATGGGCTGAATAGACTGAAAATACTGACAGATCAATTAGTAGTAACAGAAAAAGACAACAAAAATTCCCTCCTCTGCTTTATTTGCACACCTAACCTTTGCATCCTGTGTCTTCAAACTTTATTGCCCTCTATAACCAAGCAAACCATGTCAGGAATTTCTGCTGACAGACACTTGGCATGCTTCCTTCTGGAGTCAAATGACAGGGAACCTAAACCAGCTAAAGCTTTAAAGAAAAGCTACTGTAATCAAGAGCCATGTAATAGCTTGCTAAGTCTTGGTATGAAACCTATGCTGGTGAGTCATGGCAAAGACCTGATCACTTTATATTGAAGCATCATTCTGACTTTTGAGCTGGCAGGAGAATCCCAAGCAGAAACACAACATTTTTAACAGGGAGAAAAAACACCAGCAAGACTCAGCTATAAACAAAATATTTAATATTTAAGATTCCATTTTAACAAGGTAACTGCCAAACCCCCATCCCCCCAAAAAACAGCTCTAAAACTACTCACAGAATCTTCATCCTCTGCATCCGCATCAGCATCTCCCGGAGGCTCAGCTGGTCTCAGCTGTCGTCCAGAACCTGAAAGCAGCATACAGGTTGTTGGTGTCTGTGGGAGCCACACAGAGCACAGAGCAGTCAGCTTGCAAGCTGAAGCCCTCTGGAGCAGCACGCCTGGGGGATGTGCACAGGCCTGCTGTAGAAAGGCCTGATTTCATTTAGAATCATAGAATCATAAAATGGTTTGGGTTGGAAGGGACCTTAAATATCATCTAATTCCAACTCCCCTGCCATGGGCAGGGACACCTTCCACTAGACCAGGTTGCTCAAAGCCCCATCCAGCCTGGCCTTGAACACTTCCAGGGATGGACCATCCACAACTTCTCTGGGCAACCTGTTCCAGGATCTCACTGCCCTCCTTATCTCAGATCTCATGAGGCTGATCTTTCCAAAGATACCAGAAATATTCATGTCCAGAAATGTAAAGGCTTTTGTGAAGGAAAAATCTGCAGATTGGAGAAAATGTAAAACTACAAGTTGGCCAGATTTTTATTTTTTTTTTAGTTACCAAGCAGCATTTGAGGTGGGTATTGGGCAGAATTGGCACGGGTTTGGCAGTGGTGTGGCTGTGGGGGGAGGTCACAGACCACCCTGTGCCAGACACGGCTGCTTGCAGTCAGCTCTGCCTGCAGCGCTGAACCGATTGGAGGAGTTTCTGGCACCTCTGTGAAAATGTGTTCAAGAAAGAGTGGTAAATGCTGAGAAAAAGAGACAACACCACTAGAGGAGGAGACGAAAGACAGAGAAGACTACACCAGAGCAGGAGGAGAGGGGAGAGACAGCAGAGCAGGAGAAACGCTGGAGCAAAATAGGATCTCAAGCAGGGGTCGGAGGAAGAAAAGCTGCCTGAGCAAGGGCAGGGAGGAGGAGGCTTAATTCTGTTGTGTCCACGGCTGGTGGAGGAACCCACTCTGGGGCAACTGAACATGAAGCAAGGAGTGGGAAAAGAAAAGCAGCCACCCTCTGCTGACCCCCATCTCCTGCACGAGCCCTCTTCTCTCCAAACGGACTGAGCGTAGCCCACAGTGAGGGCACTGGAAACCAGAAAGAGGGGAGGAGAGGTGTATGGAGGGGAGCTGAGGTGTTTGCCCCTAAGTGTTTGGTTTGGTTTTTTTTTTTAAATATCAGAATCAGTAATTAAAAGTTCATTAATTGGCAATAAATTAAATCAATTTAAATTTCCCAGCTTGAAACTCTTCCTTGCTTTTGACAGAGGTCTTAAGACAAGAGCCGGAGAGTAAACATCATGAAGCTTTGATAGTCATAAAGATTCTGTTTTCTTGGTTTTTAAAAATACTGAGGGGAGAGAGAGATGAAGTGAAGGAGATGGGCTGTTTGAAAGTATGATTCTGTGGAAATGCCTTAAATTGGGCACGAAAGACTGAAAACAGCATGAATATGTCATTGTTCGCAGAGATCCAGGCTTAGCCAGTAGAGGACAGTGTGGCTGAACTACACGTTCAGTGATGCACAGGCTATTCTAATACACGCACAAGTCCTTGTTCTGATGACTATGTTTCTTTCCCGTCTTCACGCTCCAGTTTTTTCAAGCCATCGGGCTGTCTAGCTCTCTCACACCCAGTTCTGCAACTGCCATTAGAGTACATAGCTTTGGCTCTCCTAAACAGATCCTCTGGCTTAAAAATATGCTCAAACACTAGAGAAGAGAACCGCAAGCAGAACTGTGCAAATCATTCATTGTCTACTTTAAATGAAGAAGCCTTGGGCTGGAACACAACATTTCTGGATGTGGATATTACATGCTGTGTGTGCAGACAAGCTGGCATGACTTACGCATTTATGCAATCATTCTAACTTACACAAGTTGCCAAGCTCTTTGTTAAAATGGCTGTGATTTTGCTAGCCTTTCTTCATAGTTTTCTGATCTTCTACATTTACTTTTTCCAAGATGAAATTACTTAATACAGGCAGGGTTTTGAAAGAGTTATGCTGCATGATCTGTGATGGACCACTTTGTTAAGATGAATGGAAATAGTGTGCTTCCAGTGGGAATATCCCATGTCAGTCTGTGGGCCAAGTTTCCAAACTTGATAGAACAGAAGGCATCCTCGTTAGACATCATCTTAATCAGCTCTCCTGTGGTATTTCAGCTCCAGAGAACTCGGATCAACTCTGAACACATCAGAGCTGCCAGACCACGCCTCCTTTAGCATTCAGAGGACTTGTTGTGATGCCTATGATGGACAATTCTAGAAAATGGTCTTAATGCAGATCCTAATTCAGATTAAAGACCTGCATAAATTGGCTTGATTTTTTTTTTTCAAAAGCTCTAGCATTTGCAATTTTCAGAAGCTCAAGAAAATTAGAAAATCAGCATAACCTTGTTAAAAACTTAGATGTGGATTTATGAACCTGATTTTAGGCATTTCTGCTTGAAAATTCTGGAATCCATTCATGAAGCTCTTCACCACGTGTATTTTAATAAGCATCATATGAGGAGAAGAGCTGCAGGACTGAGGCCTGATTGTTTAATCTGCTTAGTGCTTCTAAAGATTCAGGTGCCAACAGCAAATTTTATGACTGTTACTAAAATTCCAAGAAATAGTTAGGACTTAGTCTTGTGGCATTGCTGTATTTTTCACTTGGGAGAATCCCACCCACAAGCCCTGCAGTCCAGTAGAATGACTTAACAGAATATTGCTTGGATTGCTAGAGCATTTGCTCTTCAGTGCAGCACTTCAAGGCTAATTACAGCATTGATCCCTGGTGGCTGCCAATAATTTTGCTACTGGAAAAGAAAAAGGAAAGAATTATCTGGGAGAATTCTTGGACTGGTTCACTGCGGTTTCTCTTGTTTTACTCTGGTGCAACTTCAGTGAAATTTTAGTTGTCTAGAATTGGAGCAATGCAAGCATGGGGTGCTCCGTTCTCTGGACTTGAATGGTCCTGTATAGTTGTTGCCATTGATTTTTCACCATCCAGTGGGGCATATCCTTTGAGTCTAGGGTACTGCAGCTATTCTACAGGTTCTAACAGAGGTGAAACTTTTAAAACCACGTTTTAAACAAAGGATTCTTAGTATGATTAGGTGACCAATACCTTCAAAATCTTCCTGCTGCTAAGATTGGCCTAGTCATAAAATCCAAGAGAATTAGATCACTTCCCGCAGTGAGACATGAACATTATTTCCCATCAGGATACCATTTTAAAGCAACAAATGACACTGCCAATTCTTGTTCAGCGTGGATGTAGAGAGATAGGTCTGGCCTGGATGATGTCTCATCTGGGCCTGCACCAGGAGAGAAGTTTCTTATTTTTCACCACCCGTTGATCAAGCAAAGCAGTGGCGTATGAGGCACAAGGGTGGCTTCACATGCTTGGCCAAGTATTGGCAGGCAATTGCTCTCCTAGTGCTTGCTGGAGGGGCTGTGGATCAAAGTTTGCCAAAATGTCACCAGAAAAATCCCCTGCTGTTAAAGAGGAAAATCTGCCAGCATAAAAGGCCTCTTTCACCCACCTTATGATGGGTAGGAAGGGACAGAGTCCTCCTGTGAAAGCCTTTCATAAACTGTTACCTCTCCTACATGGTTATAGTAGGACTCTTTCTCCCAAAATGGAGCAACAGATTACTGTGCCCAGCTAATAGAGATGTGGCTGAGATTGTATGAGGGACATCAGCTACACACATGACCTTCCCTCCCAAAGCTTCACACCAAGGCCTTTCCATCAACCCTGATTTCCTCAAACTCTGCCTATTCTGCCCTTCTACCATAGCTAACCCATGTCATAAAAGATTTCTTGTGCCTCTGTTTTGTAGACTAAGATTTGCTTCAGATTTTTTCCCGATTCAGAATACTTTAAAAACAAATCTATAAAAAGGGGAATAACGGTACGTCAGTGAATTCCATTTTCAGCAAAGCCGTCTTTCTGTGTATAAAAGTCTGTGCCAATAAACTATGATTTATATGCATGTCATTCTCATGCCCCAAATAGTAGTGATGCCAACATTTTATAGGTTTTAACTTTTTTATAAACCCTGGACAATCAATGCTTTGTTCCAAATGTTTTCATAAACAAGATGGAATTTACATCAGTGACTACTTCTAATAGCCACTCAACTGACTTCAGAACAAGGGAATTTTTTGAAAGTAGGCAGTAGGAGTTATATAGGCTGGAACATTTTCATATCATACAACTGAAAAGTGTATTTGCTATTTTTAATGCAATTTTTAAAAAATTATATTATCTTTAATCTAGCAACCCAGCTGGACTGTTTTGAGTAAAACCACAAAAACATAAAACCAGGGGAGTTTTTAGTATTCACATTTGGTGTGTAACAGTCTCCAAAACCACATTTGAGACATTATAATCAATTTCAAGTATGTCAGTGTCATTGAATTCAAGTCAATTGTGTTTTAATGTATTGTATAAAATGAAGAGAAACCTAGCTTTAACTGGGACATGGGCATATAAAATTACCATCATCCATATACTTTAAAATCAAATAAACCAGCAAATGAGAATACCAGAGACGTTGTTAAAAAAAACCAATAATGTCCTTTGCTAATCATCCTAGCTTCCTTGCTTGCAAATTATATCCCTTTCTTTGCAATTCTTAAATTTGGGCTTTCTGCTTTTTAACATTTTATACTAAAGTTATGTTTGCGTACGAATGTGGTGAATTTAAGTAATCTGCTCTTACCTTTAAGCATATAACTTTTCCTTGCATCAACTTCTTAGCCATTATCTTTTCTGCTAAAAGTGGCTTTGTTTTGATTTATGTTATTTAATTTTGTTCTGTTTTTTGTCAGAGAGAGCTAAACCGCTGGTTTTTAGTTGTTTTCCCTGGGATTTTAATGTTGATCCGCTAAAACTGACAAGAGTAGCAATGGTTCCAATGCATATATTTCTTATAAAGGTGCAGGTTAAATATTGCTCGTTCTGAAGTAATATATTCACCAGGAGAAAAGGTTCCTTCTTGCCATGTACTGACTGGTATGAATTATCCAACTTCACTTCAGCAAATAAGGTTCTCTTAACAGACAGAAACCTCATCTGTGGTAAACATCTGTCTGTAGGTGAAAACTT